TTTTCCGAGAGTTCCAACATCTTTACCAAATTGAATGTATTTAGTGTTTGAGTCCCCAATTAAAACTGTGCTATTTTTGTAGTAAGGCGCAATATGCCTAAAGGTAAAGCTGTACCTCACAGAATTTGTCTCATCAGATTCCTCTTCATCTTCTTCATTAGCGAGGGGTTCAATACCATGATTCCAGATTTCCTGGGACAACCTGGACATCACGTACACACTTCCATCTTTGAGCTTTAAGGACTTTTCAGTCGACTTATGTGTGAACTTTATTGTGCGTTCTTCACCAAGAGACACAGTGACTATTATTGATTCAGGGTCAATAAGTACCATTGTCACAGTGCTGAGGGATATGGCTACTGTTGCCTGTATATCTTGTTACAAGGCAAGAGTTCAGCCAGCTCTTCCTATTGGGGAGAGAGGGTCGCACACAGTCCAAAAGATCTTGTATCTCTACTGGAGTTTCCTTTGCCTGATGATATGCTCCTGTATACCAGTATCCATGTTCACCAAAGTAGATGACATCCCTGCTGCTACCAACCGAAGAAAAATCTGCACTACTGTCCTCCAGCAGCTTTATAAGTTTGCTGTGAAGCTCAACAGGCACTATATCTTCCTGATAAGTTATATAAGGGTCACATGCAGGGTCTATAGAAATTTCAGATGCAGTAAAGTGAGGAGAAGTAGTGTTAGGGGTCATAACGATAGAGTCGTCGTTGGGTAGTTCACCTTCATCAAATTTCTGTGTGGACGTTGAGGGACAAACATGATCATTGATCTTTTCCAATTGCACTTTGATCTGAGTCATCAGGTTATCAACATGATCGAAAGTACTGCTGTTAGTCGAAGGTTGCTCTGTAATAGGAATACTTTTGAGAGAGTCCTTTAGGTCATCAATCTCCTGTTTGAGAGAATAACTGGTTGTCTCAAGAGCTGAGCCACTCTCCTTTACTTTCGTAAGTACATCCTTGATAACAGCTATGTCTTCAGTGATGTCTTCAATTCCAGTTACTAATCGTTCTGTTTTTTTGGAGTGTTCTTTGAAACCGTCCTCCTTGAGTATGAGGTGTTTGATATGCTCGTTGAAGAACTCTATGGTTGTTGTACTATCTTTGAGGTCCTCATTACATTTGGATATCTTAGCAATGTTGCTAAAGAATTCTGTTAAGGCTTTGGATTTATCCTCCTCCTTCAATCTTCTTGTGTAAGGAAAGATAAAGCAGTCCGGGCACTTCCAGGAAGTGCTGAGCTTCTTTAGAGACGCTACTGTGAGGCCAGCCAGGTTAACACAGTTGGAATGGAAGGTCTGCTTACAATTAACACATACGATTGTCACGGGGTTCTTAGACTCTACGAAGCAGGGACACTTAGAGAGTAGCGTGGCTGGGATCGATGCTGGTTCGTTGCTCTCTACATCTAGGAAGTCTCCATCAGATGTTAGATCTGCATCTGGCTCTGTGTTCCTATTATGTATTCTGCTAGTGACTTTTCGGCTTAAAACAGGGCTTGAAATAGGGGTGGATCCAGCTGACTTGCACCCTCGAGACGTGGCATTAAAGAGGTCCGATTTCCTGTCGAGTTTCTTGTCGAGTTTCTTGTCGGTCGTTTTCATGGTGATAATGGATGCGGAGTACAGGGGTGAGCGGAGGCGGCCAGGGTCAGACCCATCGAACCAGACCAGTAAACCTGAAACAAGCTAGGCGGCAGTGAGATGAGTAACATAAATTTATCAGTGATCACGTTAAGCTTAGCAGGAATCACCAGTAGATTTAAGGCTAGTTAATGAGTTATAAAGTCAATTGAAAATGAATAAAGTATACTGAAACGTCAAATGTGTTGGATGAGATGTAAAATGGAGTGAATGTGCAATGATGGGGAAGGGGCTGGGGTAAGGAGGGGCTGCTAATTCATATTCAATGTAAATTTTCAACTTTATCAATAAACAATCTCACACAAATATTAGTTAGAATCTCAAATATCAATATTTTTGAATGAGACTTACTTTATATGAAAGGTAAGCTTAAACTACATATTCTCTGTACGTAGGTTATAGTTGTGGACAATTTATCATGCAACACTTAGCTTCTTCACCTGTAGTGTCTTTTAAATATATCAAGTTTGTCCAATTTACATTTGAAATAACTGATTGTACGCAAATTTTACAAATTAGGCTTGATATGACACAATCTCGTCAAAGTCATGAGATAACTATGAATTAGAGAAACAAAACCCCTCCCTCCGCTGATATCTGAGTGACCCAATGGTCTCATAAATTTTCTTTAAGTAATTATCTATAAAATATGATTAATTTAGAGACCAACCTAATATTATACCTGAACTAGTGGTCCAAAGGGGCTCAAGAAAGCTGTATAGGCACTCTGGTCCTTATCCTTGCAACTAGTCATAATTTTACACTGAAAACTAAGGAATAATAATACTTTGGAACTAGTATGACTGGTGATTGGACAAATTCACAACTTGTAGTTAAGAATATGTTTAATCTATAAAATAAGTAATTAGTATGTATGTGTACATGTGAGCGAAAGAAGCTACTGCAAAGGGGGGGGGGGGGGGGGGGGGGGGGGGGGGGGGGGTTCACCCTAATTTTTTTGTAAAACTTGGTTTCGAGATAGCAGTTGACCAACAAACTAGGACCGGTGACCAAACTTTTGAGGGGGTCCCCGACCCCAACCTGCCAAACGGTGCCCGCGGGGCAGCCACGCCCATATTTGGTTCAAATTAGGCCCAATTTAGCCAAATACCCTGAACATGCCCAAAACCCAGATTTTATGTGCTCTACTTGTAGCTAGTGGTCCCCTGAACAAGTATATGAATTTTCATCAACATTGGGCAAAAAATGACTGAGTTATGAGCCAAAAACCATATGATCATATTTGGGCATACGCACCAAATTTGATCGATTTTGGCCCATAAATTGGTCAAATATCAATATTTTTGTATGAAACCAACTTTATATGAAAGGTAAGCTTATACTACACATTCTCTATGATTATCAGCTCAGTATCTACCTAACTGTGGATTCTGTGTTCAAATAATCACAAAAAATGAACTAAATCGTCCATATCTCAGTTCGCGATATTTGCAAAACTGATTTCGCTCAAAACAATAGAACTCAATAGGGTTTCAATATTTTTACATGAAATTTTCAGAATCAACGTAGAATCGCATTTCGACCTTATTTCTTGTATTGAAATTTTGAGTTAGACCTTTAAAAAATTTGGCGGCCAAATTCCAAAATTTGCCAGGCATTATTCAGAATTTGGTTGACCAACAAACTAGGACCGGTGACCAAACTTTTGAGGGGGTCCCCGACCCCAACCGCCAAACTGGTGCCCGCGGGGCAGCCACGCCCATATTTGGTTCAAATTAGGCCCAATTTAGCCAAATACCCTGAACATGCCCAAAACCCAGATTTTATGTGCTCTACTTGTAGCTAGTGGTCCCCTGAACAAGTATATGAATTTTCATCAACATTGGGCAAAAAATGACTGAGTTATGAGCCAAAAACCATATGATCATATTTGGGCATACGCACCAAATTTGATCGATTTTGGCCCATAAATTGGTCAAATATCAATATTTTTGTATGAAACCAACTTTATATGAAAGGTAAGCTTATACTACACATTCTCTATGATTATCAGCTCAGTATCTACCTAACTGTGGATTCTGTGTTCAAATAATCACAAAAAATGAACTAAATCGTCCATATCTCAGTTCGCGATATTTGCAAAACTGATTTCGCTCAAAACAATATAATAGAACTCAATAGGGTTTCAATATTTTTACATGAAATTTTCAGAATCAACGTAGAATCGCATTTCGACCTTATTTCTTGTATTGAAATTTTGAGTTAGACCTTTAAAAAAATTTGGCGGCCAAATTCCAAAATTTGCCAGGCATTATTCAGAATTTGGCCGCCAAATTTTTTTAAAGGCCTAACTCAAAATTTCAATACAAGAGATAAGGACGAAATGCGATTCTACGTTGATTCTGAAAATTTTATGTAAGAATATTGAAACCCTATTCAGTTCTATTGTTTTGAGCGAAATCAGTTTTGCAAATATCGCGAACTGAGATATGGACGATTTAGTTCATTTTTTGTGATTATTTGAACACAGAATCCACAGTTAGGTAGATACTGAGCTGATAATCATAGAGAATGTGTAGTATAAGCTTACCTTTCATATAAAGTTGGTTCAATTCAAAAATATTGATATTTGACCAATTTATGGGCCAAAATCGATCAAATTTGGTGCGTATGCCCAAATATGGTCATATGGTTTTTGGCTCATAACACAGTCATTTTTTGCCCAATGTTGATGAAAATTCATATACTTGTTCAGGGGACCACTAGCTACAAGAAGAGCACATAAAATCTGAGTTTTGGGCATGTCCAGGGTATTTGGCTAAATAGGGCCTAATTTGAACCAAATATGGGTGTGGCTGCCCCGCGAGCACCGTTTGGCGGTTGGGGTCGGGGACCCCCTCAAAAGTTCGGTCACCGGTCCTAGTTTGTTGGTCAACTGCTATCTCGAAACCAAGTTTCACAAAAAAATCAGGGTGAACCCCCCCCCCCCCCCCCTTAATGGTATATTGCATAAAGATAGTGACTATCAATGATTTTAACCATTTGCCTGCTCGAATTAAGAATATACCAAAATTCAAATCAATTTTATAAAACATGTTGTTATACTACTTTATCCATTGCATTATTCTATAATTATTTGGTAAAACCCCTGGCCTAGGTAGCTTATCTTGTGGTGTAATAACACAAAATAAAAATCAATTGTGACTATTTTTCTTTTTAAAACTATCGGCACGGGAGCTTTTGATTTTGATTATATTATTTGATTGTAAATAAAGAACAGAATTAAAAATTTGTTTAATAAAGAAATTATTTAACTCAATTAAAATTTGTATGTCTAACGGGACATTAAAAACAATTACTAATGATCATTATTTTTCTTGACAGCATGACAGTATGGTCTTACATTGTAAAAATCAACAATGCAAATGATAATGGAACCAACAATCAAGACAACGTTTATATTTCATCCATAAGTTTACCCACAGATACCACTTCATTTGTATCTCAACCTGATGGGGCAAGTCATGATCAGTCTTATATATGTAGTGGCATTCCTAATGATGGAGGAGTGGTTTTAAACTTGCTAGCTGATATTATTGTAGCTGGGGTGAGTTTTTGGAATAACTATATAATTTTTAAAATTAATTTAATTAGCCATAATATTGAAATTTGAGAATCGAAGTGCTGATCTCAATTGGTGATCGAATAAGGTATTTGAAGATGGGACACAATATTTCTTGAATTATTTTAGATTTTAAAATGATGAAATTTACAGTTAATACTGCTGGCGACTTTTATAGCTTGGAAATTTTGGTTAGGAAAGGAAGAACAAAAGGCTTTGTCAGCCAATACACAGTAAGTTTTGAAGCATTTGTAAATAATGATGATTCAATTCCATAAAGATAACCAATATTTATAAGATAACCTCAACAATTGATTCTTATCCTGACATGAATAAAATCCTTCTTTTGCCCAGAGATCAAGATGCAGATGGTACTGATTCTGACGATGAAAACATTCTAAATCAGCCTAAAGAGCAAGTACGTTGTTTATTTTGTTAGGAAGTGAGCCATATTTTTTTTCACGCTTGTCAATGATTCTGAGTTTTTGTCAATCTGTTTTATTTTATGTTTGAATTATAAACTTATTCAACTGTTTAAAGTAAACAGGTTGTTTTACAGTTGGTGTGGTACAAGGCAATTTACCAAATTTGGATAACCAGGTTAATTTCATCTCAAATAAGCGTTCACTCCTTACCTATAGCACCGTTAATTGACAGTAAAATGCCCATTTTACAATAAAATACTAATTTTACAGTATGAGGCATGATGTTATTTATTCCTGAAAGCAAGTTTGAATTCTACATCATGATACACTTGTGCAGCACTGCTCATCTTGTTGGGATAGTGTAAACTATCTTTAGCCAGTGTGTAAGCTTTCAATACACACTTACACACTCTTACATATTAGATATTATAATCTATAATGTTATGTTACATTCTGAACAGCATACCTGCTGCAATAAATCAGCTGAGTAGATAATTAAATTGTAAACTTTGATATTTTATATCAGAATACTTGATAGCTTTAAATTAGTTTCCACAGACCTGTAAGATTTCCAGTCTTATTCAGCGTTATCTGTTGCAAAAATTATACAAAGCACTAATTTTTTTACTTTAAACTGAATTTCATCAACCCCTCTTTAAAGCCTCAAAACCTGACACCACAACAGTGATTCCACAGTGGAACTAAGTCAAGGTATCGACGGAGTGCGCTACATTCACCTCTCAGAGTATTTACAGATAACACTTCTGGTGATAACAATATGCTGCTTGTGTATAATTCTACCTATAAATCTGTCTGGTGATAGAGGTCAGTATTGTTTTCAAGTTGTTATTTTAAATTATCTGATTTTAATGATTTTCTAGCCTGAGGTTTCTGACTTTTAGTGTATCTGCTACCCTAGTATACGCCATAACCCTTTATTAAGAGCTGAAGCAGGTAACATTTTTTACTTAGCTATCATTTCAACTATCTTTTATACTGTAATTTCAGTTAATTTGTCTTCCATTTATCGATAAACATTTTCAGAATCGACGCTGTTCGGAAAGTTTTGTATAACAAATTTAGATCCGGGCTCGTCTTTACTTTGGGCCCATTACATCCTGGCTCCTCTCTACCTTCTTCTCATACTGGGTATGGTATCATTATTTCATCCTTTCTGTGGTATTCGAGCGTGTTTCGTTCTGTTTATTTGATTGAGGATGACAGGTACATTCTTCGAAGCTGATTGGTAAGTAAACCATTTAATTGCCGAAAAATAAAATAAATAGAATTTGGGATATAAAATTAGAAAATGAGGTGACTGACCTATTTCACCAATGTTCCTTGTTTTTGCAGTTTCCTTGAAATTACTGATAAGCCAATTACGTTCACCATTCTTTGTTCAGAAGTCACGTCTCATGTTAAGTAATGAATGGTTCCTAATCAAATTTGTAGATTTCGAATTAAGATTAGAAGTGTGATAAGGCCGAGGTACTGGGAATGCGAATTGATATGTTGCAATTATTCGGTAAAACGTTAATAAAATTTCGAGAGAATCGTTTGATGTTCATCTTTCAAAAGGTTTTGTACGTTTGATATTTTATTTTGCGTATCTGAATTCTGATGTTTCATTTGGTAGCCCTTCCGTAAACTTCGAACAGCTACACGCATTATTAATTTATTACGAAGTTTTATAGCTCACGAACCAATTTTCCATTACGAACTAAAACAGGAAAGGATTTTCCCTACAGCCCACATTACTTGTTACATGAGTCTGACACTTTTGATGTTGTCTCAAAATAATCTCCTTTTTCACCCGATTTATAACATGACCCAGGACCACAATGGCTATGATGTTAAAAACAGCATGTTTGTTAATGTTAACATGCGTGGGTATATCTGCTGAAACTTGTGACGTGTGTATGGAGTTAATGTTCGAGGATGGAACGTATGCGGAGGGGAGGATCCCGTGTGCCTCCCCCCAGAAAGGGTTCATGTGTCCGGAGGAACAAGTCTGTACATCCTACATCTTCACTGGTAAGCTGTATCAAGATGCTGGCTGGATGGCAGCTGGACAAAGACTCAGCTATAGGATAGCTGACTGTTCTCATCCCATTTTTGATTGTGATGTGATTGAGATGTGGATGCTGGACGGTGGCCTCGTAGTTGACCAGTGCGAGAAGAATGTTGATGTTTGGGGTATGGAGGCGTGAATGTGGGTGTCACAGTGGCAGAAAGAACAGGAGACAATTTTCTCTATAGTTATCTGATTTTTGATCTTTTCTTGTAAATCGGACTTTTTTATGGCAGCATTGATTGCCTTCAAATAAAATCAAAATTGCATGCTAAACCTTTTATCTTGTTTCTCTAAAATTTCCGGTTAACAGTTGAATAGAAATAACAACTATCAAAAGGAAGTTTTACATAATATCCACTTTACACATATAAATTATAGGGAAAAAAGCATGACGTTGGGATAGAACTATTTTGCTTTCATACAAATAAAGTGATTCAATTGTTTTGAGAGAGAACAGTTATTATTTAAAACTGATTCGCCTCTCCTAAAAATATTTAAACAAAATCTTTAAAAAATCTACAGTTATTGTTTACTTAGTTCTGGACAGTGTTACAAAGTTAATTAAATGTATATTGTATCCGGTTCCTCGTGATGTTAATCTGAAACTGAGACCGAAACATGCGACAACTGTTGCGACAACTGTTGCGACAACTGTTGCGACAACTGTTGCAACAACTGTTACGAGGAATTTTACGAGGAATGTTACGAGGAATGTTGCGATGTAAACAACTACCGCCTTATTTCACAGCCCCATGTAGTCGGTAAATACAAAGTGTGGACGTTTGCAGGTATGAAGCTTAAGTTACACACAGACTATCTGGATCATCAGCCAACGTTGGCAAATTGGTAAAATTGCCTTCAAATCAAAGCCGACTCCAATGTTTTTCCGGAATATTTTTTGTCCATTTCCTTTCCATAAGTTCGTCAAATGGACCTAGTAGCAAATATCTGGACATAATTTGTATGCGTCTTGCTTCTACCTGTCTGTTATAATACCCTCACCTACTCTAATTAGTACTCAATTAGTAATAAGTGCTCAAACACCGTTTGTTTAGTTAGTCTCTTCAAAATTCTACCAGTTAAACTTAAACCCGTTACAAAGGCAATATGTAAGTGCAGTGGTGTGGAGTCACACTGTTGACCTAATACCACACTTTTCCACACTATAGGCCGATATTCGTTCTATAAGATTTGTGCACTTGGTATTGCTGTGTACAATTAAGAAAATATGCCCATAAATATGATTACTTGATTAGGGTCAAAATATAATAGAACAAACTTCCTCCATAAAATATGGGATAATAATAATAATGTTGAAGTACAATATTGTAAAATTACAATATTGAATATCCTGCCTCAATTACACTCATCGTCAGCTCAACTAACCCCATTCATCCTGCACATATAATTATACAAGCTTTTATAAGGGTCGTTCTAGAATTTTAATCTTGAATTTCCAGGAAACTCAGTGTAATACATGATAAATTAACCTTGTGAGTTATTGATGTGTTAAAAGTAAACAATCGTGTAATGCAACGTTAAATATACTACGCTGTTAAACAATCCAGTCTGAGAATACCACTGGCGAATTGTTCAGCTTAAACGTGGTGTTTTTCCCTCCAAATTTTCCGCATATAAAACATTTATGGGCAGATGCGGGATCACACTATTTACAAAATTTGACTGCACTTATATGTTGCCTCTGACCCGTAAGAATATAAAACAGTTGATATACTGAATATATCGATAGTCGATACCCAAGGTTTAACCCAGATTTCCCCCTCACAGTTGTGGTGTGGATACCCAAGGTTTAACCCAGATTTCCCCCTCACAGTTGTGGTGTGGATACCCAAGGTTTAACCCAGATTTCCCCCTCACAGTTGTAGTGTGGATACCCAAGGTTTAACCCGGATTTCCCCCTCACAGTTGTGGTGTGGATACCCAAGGTTTAACCCGGATTTCTCCCTCACAGTTGTGGTGTGGATACCCAAGGTTTAACCCGGATTTCCCCCTCACAGTTGTGGTGTGGATACCCAAGGTTTAACCCGGATTTCCCCCTCACAGTTGTGGTGTGGATACCCAAGGTTTAACCCGGATTTTCCCCTCACAGTTGTGGTGTGGATACCCAAGGTTTAACCCGGATTTCTCCCTGACAGTTGTGGTGTGGATACCCAAGGTTTAACCCAGATTTCCCCCTCACAGTTGTGGTGTGGATACCCAAGGTTTAACCCGGATTTCCCCCTCACAGTTGTAGTGTGGATACCCAAGGTTTAACCCAGATTTCCCCCTCACAGTTGTGGTGTGGATACTCAAGGTTTAACCCAGATTTCCCCCTCACAGTTGTGGTGTAGATACCCAAGGTTTAACCCGGATTTCCCCCTCACAGTTGTGGTGTGGATACCCAAGGTTTAACCCGGATTTCCCCCTCACAGTTGTGGTGTGGATACCCAAGGTTTAACCCGGATTTCCCTCTCACAGTTGTGGTGTGGATACCCAAGGTTTAACCCGGATTTCCCCCTCACAGTTGTGGTGTGGATACCCAAGGTTTAACCCGGATTTCCCCCTCACAGTTGTGGTGTGGATTCCCAAGGTTTTACCCGGATTTCCCCCTCACAGTTGTGGTGTGGATACCCAAGGTTTAACCCGGATTTCCCCCTCACAGTTGTGGTGTGGATACCCAAGGTTTAACCCGGATTTCCCCCTCACAGTTGTAGTGTGGATACCCAAGGTTTAACCCAGATTTCCCCCTCACAGTTGTAGTGTGGATGTACACGTGGGAGCTGGGAGCAGTGAAGCTTGTGGAAGCTGAGCAGGTGGCTATAGTCAGGAACGTGGACCTCGCCTGGAATGAGGAACACTTCTGGAACTACTTCGAGTGAGAAATTCTGTGAATTTACTTCTTATATCAACAATTTACTTCTTATTATATGCACCATATATTGATTATTGATACCTTTGTTCCATGAATTGAAATTAATTTGTTATGTGGTTTTATTAGTTAGTTGCTAATCTGTGCTAAATTATATTGTAATCTTGAAATGGTGTTACAGAACTATAAAAATGAAGGATAATGTTGTGGACATACAGCTTGGGTACGATGTCAGTCATCTTTATAGTCTTATCAGGCAGAGGTAGAATCCAACAATTAATAAATGTCATAAATATTGTTGCCTTTATTTATTTGCACTATTTTTCGTACAACATATTATTATGTGCGACTAACACTTTGTTTTTCTGCCCAATTTCTTGCGTTTTCTGTTTCACTTACAGACATTTTATCAGGGAGGAGGTAAAACGTCTGCTCACAAGATATAAAGATCTACATGTAGAAGAGCCCGACAGTGAACATATCTACAATACTGGCTATTGTTGTGGTGACAAGGTTAGAAAACCCTCTTAAAACCCTTCTTGTTATGTTTGATTTCGACCTGTAAAGGTTTCCTCGCACCGAACATTGTTCCGTATGGAAGTAGCGGACGTATCTTGCAGTTAACACTAAATATCTCACTTTTTCCCCAAGCTCAGCTTCAGATTCATATAAATGAAATAATTAATTTGTTAATCTAGTTTTACAAATTACTAATTGTCTATTGAGTACATTCTGGAGATCCACATTCCATGACAGGAAGCAACAAGTAAATAACACATTCCATCAGGTGGATGGTTTGGAGTATTATTCCTGTAAACTAGATGAGTGTGACGAGGCTTTACGAATGGAGCGTAACACTATTAGAACTATAAAACGATGTAACTTTGCCTTTGTGGTGTGGACTTCTCCTGGAAATTGCAAAATGTTTGTGAATCTTAACTATAATTGGTGTGGTGAGGCGTTTCAACTCTGGGTTTTCTGTCAGTGCATGTGTATCATGCGGAGTTTTGACAGTATTAGATCTTTGGATGATGAAATTATAGCCGAAATCGCTACTCATAGAAAAAAAAGCTCTGATTTCTTAAATGCGATGAAGCTTTTAACACTTTATGTCAACTAATTAATGAATCGGTGCCTGCTACAGGTTTATTAATACCCATAAGCCGGTGAACATATGCAAAGTAATAAAAGAAGAGAAACAGTTCAGAAGTCAGAAATGGCAAGTAAGATTGGCGCCGATACACTATGACATCATGTGGTTCGTTCTTCTTTTTCTTTCTTTTTTGTCGGTAGAAATATTGAAAATTTAACCATCGTTTTGGTGCTGTCAGTATGTAATAGGACAGCATGCAATCTGAAGTTGACTTCTTGAGTTGCAAATAGGACAAAATGGGTACATTATTTCAAATGATGGATTTCAGAGTAAATTTCAGCTAGATCGAACAATGAACACTTTACAGGGACAACATGTCAACTCCCAAATGGTTTTGGTGGACTCGGGCTGCTGTTATCAATTTGAGTGAGTTGCATGTCGAGTCATGACTTATTTGTCATATCAAGTTAATTGATTTTGCGTTTTAGCCAGAAAGTTTGGCGTAAAACGGTCTACAGAAAATTTATTTTAAAACGCGCGATACTAAATTAATACTTATTGGCGCGCATCACGCGAGTTAATGTTGGACGCATGAGCGCTTCCTCGATCCGCACATGTTTTCAACACTGTTTTAGTTTTAATGTGGTCAACAGTCTTGTTCTTACCCTTACGGCTTTAAAGATGAATATCGAACAGATTATATCCAATGATTGGCTAAACACGTTTTTTCAGTTCTTCTCCTGTTTGTGATTTTCTTCACCACGCCGCTTATAATTATAAGCTTTATAACGGTATCTCTGCAAATACGACTTTATATGGTGAGCAAAAGATACTTTACCTTGTCTATATAGTATTGTAATAAATAACCTCTACCTTGTCAACTAATATAGGCAGCCGATAAACTCGATCGAATCAAAATCACAAATATCCAAAGGAAGATAAATTTGATAAATCTTATTTCAGTCCACATTCTACTACGTTTATTTCACGATACTCCTTTTGATCCTCCTCACTAACATTCTACCTGAAATAGTCAACTGGACTTGCAAACTAGAGAAGCATCGAACAAAATCAGGTAAATACAGGTGTGGTATTTATACTGAGTTTTATAATACCAATCTAGATTAATTACTGGATGTTACATTTTAAAAGGTATCTTTGGGAGTTGTGAACGTTTTTTTACACGTGTCTGACTACAAACAACTTTCAAAACAGGTTATTTTCACTGGATGCTAAAGAAAGCGTTTGTATATTTACTGATATCTATCGAGCTGCTGCCTCTGGTGGGCGACACCAGCATTGCAAATTTCTTCGAAGAGATCTTCTCAAGTAATATTACTGGTTGAATGTGATTTTCTAAATCAGATTTTTTGCGGTTACTCTTCAGTTTGATATAGTCGACAATACATCAATTTTGGTGTCATGACGTGGATCAGCTTAACAATGACTTTGCTAAGATTCAATTTCATCTCAGGTGATTGGAAAGGGTTCAGGTCCATATTCCAGTGCGTTTTTTCAGTCTACAACTCTGCGTTCTTTTGTAATCTAATTCTCGCAGCCGCTTTTGTTGGTATGTTAAACTTGGGAGGAAATTAATATCTCAAATATAAATCAAATTTCGTACGATAACAAGCCTAATTGTATCATTCGTGTATCACATTTTACTCTTCTTAATTAGTGTAGACAAAGCTCTATTATTATTACCTTGGTCATGTGACAATTTTTCAATTATTTGGGTGATTTAATTTAGAGTCTATGTATTCTACGATGACTAGCCCTACTAATATCGTAGCATATCAATTTGAAACCTTACAACAGGTCGATCGATAGAACTGCTTCAAATTAAAGGAATCTACATTTACATTTGGGAGCGAAGTTTTGCCCGGACTAAACGAGAATATCTCAAAATTTTCAAAGTGAGTCGAATAATGAAAGGAGAGGACAGAAGACTTTAATGGCATGATAAAATTATATTAAGATATATATGCTGGGTTATTTTTGTGAAAGTATAACTGTTCATTAACTCACTTTTCATCTTTAATGTTTCAGAAAATTAAAAGAGATTTCAACATCGGCTACAACTACGCCAAACTGCAAGCGTACCTCTGCGTTGTCATTTCATTCTCTCTTATCTGCCCAATAATTACTGCCTACGGGATGCTTTTACTTGTCATAAAATACGCAGGTTGGTTTTTTAACTCACCGAGTTTAAGAAGACCACGTATATGTAATGATTGCAATACGATTACAATATAGTCACAGTATGGTTACAATATTGACCTGAAGTTAATATGAAGTGCATTATTTTATTCTAAAAACAGTAGAACTGATTACTGATGAGGATTTAAACATACATTTTCTGAAATCTTATTTGACTGATCAAAACCCATAGTCACTATCACGTGACAAAAATATTGTTTTCCACCCCAACAGAATCCGAATCAATAGATAACTAATCCCCTCTCGCAGTGGACAAGTATCTGATGATATACAAGACTGGGCCATGCGGTTCTTACAGCTCGTCAACCCACTATACCTCAGCTTACTTCACCGTATTTTCCGGGGTCCTACTGCAGATTTTCATGTTCCTGTATGCTTTTATGTACTGCGGTATGTCAGTTCAATTTTTGAAGTACACGCACGCCCTGTCGGCTGTCATATCTAGAAATTGGTAGTACATTTAAAAAATTAAACATATAATTTTCTGGTAAGTGGTATCCACTATTAGTATCAACTGATTTTAAGAACCGTAATTATGGAATTTCAGCTGAAATCCTGTATAATTTAAAAGAATTTCCTAATTCCTTTGATTTTTATTGTCCGATTCATTTACCTCTGATTTCCAAATTCGTCATGTCACGACGTGATATGTACATTGTACATCGCTATTATGAAGTCAATAATAGAATCTGTCAAGTTGCAACTTGTTTTTAAAAGATCATATTTTTTAGCTCATTCATTATCATAACATATTATCACTACATATCATTACATACATATCATTCCATATCATAACATATCATAACATATCATAATATATCATAACATATCATAACATATCATAACATATCATAACATATCATAACATATCATAACATATCATAACATATCATAACATATCATAACATATCACTTCATATCATTACATATTATCACTACATATTAGTATACATTTTTATATTTATGCTTTCACAATAAACAAAAAAAACATTGAATAGTTTATCATTATTGGCAAATAAAACGAAAAAATCCTAATTCTAACCCCGAAAACTATTGGACACAATTTATTTTCTACACCTTCACGTATCGGCAGTAGACAGTAGTGAAAGTCTGGTGACCCTCCGTCCAGATCCAACTTGCATCTCTTGAGATTTGCCCGATGACCCCCCAAGGTCCAACTCCGTGTTGGCCAATTACGTCTCCTTCTTCCCATGTTCCAGAATCAAACCCAGGTGCTGTCCATCCTTCTTCTTGTTTCTGTGTACAGGTCCAGCTTTCATCAGTAACCAAAACCTCGTCCCCATTTTCATCATGAAGTGAAGCCAGGATTCCGGGGATAACTCCGTAGTCCAGACATTGGATAACAATTTCTTTGAAGTTAGAGGGGACAGAGATTCGAGACTCGGTTCGCCAATTATCCAGTCCGTCCGCTGCCTGCTGCACTCCATCCACAAATACAATCATCGTATTGTCACATGTAGCTCTGAGAGTGTAACTCACCACTGACTCGTAGCGACAATAGACAGTTGTGTAAGTCTTGTGGTCTTTGGTCCAGATCCAGCCTGCGTTCCTAGAGATTTGCCCGATGACCCCCCAAGGTCTAACTCCGTGTTGGCCAATTACGTCTCCTTCTTCCCATGTTCCAGAATCAAACCCAGGTGCTGTCCATCCTTCTTCTTGTTTCTGTGTACAGGTCCAGCTTTCATCAGTAACCAAAACCTCGTCCCCGTTTTCATCATGAAGTGAAGCCAGGATTCCGGGGATAACTCCGTAGTCCAGACATTGGATACCAATAACTTTGAAGTTAGAGGGGACAGAGATTTGAGACTCGACTGGCCAATTTTCCAATCCTTCCGCTGCCTGCTGCACTCCATCCACAAATACAGTCATCGTATTGTCACATGTAGCTCTGAGAGTGTAACTCACCACTGGCTCGTAGCGACAATAGACAGTTGTATGAATCTTGTGGTCTTTGGTCCAGATCCAGCCTGCGTTCCTAGAGATTTGCCCGATGACCCCCCAAGGTCCAACTCCGTGTTGGCCAATTACGTCTCCTTCTTCCCATGTTCCAGAATCAAACCCAGGTGCTGTCCATCCTTCTTCTTGTTTCTGTGTACAGGTCCAGCTTTCATCAGTAACCAAAACCTCGTCCCCGTTTTCATCATGAAGTGAAGCCAGGATTCCGGGGATAACTCCATAGTCCAGACATTGGATACCAATAACTTTGAAGTTAGAGGGGACAGAGATTCGAGACTCGGTCCACCAATTATCCAGTCCTTCCGCTGCCTGCTGCACTCCATCCACAAATACAGTCATCTGATTGTCACATGTAGCTCTGAGAGTGTAGATCTCATCATTTGCCGCTAGAGACTGAGGAGCGATAGCTGCCACAATCACCACAAAGAGTGTGATTTGAAACCAGGTCATTCTCATCTAACTGAGGAGGATTACGGAATTTAAGTTGAGAATTTATCTGAGGTGCTTATTAAGAAGGGAATTAGGCAATTTAGTAATCTGTCGATTGTCAAATAACGCACGGTTAATGCACGGTTAAAACGAACGGACGTTTTACTAATGAGTAATGACGTGGATCAAAATGTGCCTGACAAACACATGAGTTTTCACTAAGCCAGGTTTATAGACCTACAGCATACATGTATGGCGTGGATCATGTATCATGGCGGAGGAATGAAGGTGATAAAAGGCTCTTTTCCTTTATATTTTGTTCAGCAAGGTGACAAGGGAAAATACTTCAATTCGAATAAACCGTTAAGAATTGTAATTACAATATCTCAGTGACTGTTCCTCAAATACTATCTTACTATATATAAAGCGAGACGATATATATATATTTATCTGTGCCATTTTACTGACACCACGGCATCAACTTTAACGCGAATTTCTGCAAAAACCGTAAAAGATATACAACTGCAACTTTTTTGACTGGATCAAATGCTTTAATAGCCTCCAAATCAGCATGAAAAAATAAAAAATTGGCCAAGAAATAGGAGTTTTAGAGCCCAAAATTTGGTACCCCAAGTGGTGTCAAAAACGCGAATTAAATAGGTAATAATTGTTTTAGTCTCTTGAGTCTTTACACCATTTTAGGGTTAGACGGGTTCCTGCTAGTGTCAATAATTCGAATAGTCTAGTTCTTTAACTGTAAACATTAGCTGTAAACGTCTGCTGTATTCAAACCAAAAAGTGTCCTGCCATCCAACAGGCCCACTCTGAAATATCCTTAGATAGTATAAACAATCTCCCACTCGTTTTAGCAATCCCTAAACAAATCCCAAACTATCCTTCATATAGCCAAAACAGAGGTGTAAAATTGAACTCTCTGATAACCAAAACAGAGATGTTAAAATAAACTTTCTGTTTCCCTAAAACTCTCTGCCCTTAGGCTTAACAATATCTTTAACTATCCTCCTATAGCCAAAACAGAGTTGTTAAACTGAACTCTTTGATAACCAAAACAGAGATGTTAAAATAAACTTTCTGTTTCCCTAAAACTCTCTGCACTACCCTGCTGTACTAAATGTCGTACACTAATAAATGCCCTAAAATACTACGGTAAAATACTGTTTAATGTCTAGTACTAAAACTGCTAAAACGAGTATATAACATATCCTCCCCACAAAATTTTGTGGAAGTTCTCCCGTTGCAATTGCAATGGATAACTTTACAAATTCTAATATATATCAAATCTACCTACAAAGTGTTTTTTAAAACCCACATGAAATTGAAAAAAAAAATGTGTCTCTCTTGCTATTAAAACTGGCACCAAAGCTGCCCAAAATCAATGTCATCACCAAGTTGAAAATAACCATGTTCTAATTGATGTCAAGATTAGTATTACTTTAAGTAAAGTGTTGTTATGATTCAAACTTAATGTAAAAAAGAGGTGATCAATCTCCCGAATACGGTAGGAATCCACACTCAGGGCCCTAGTAATACAATATGACTGTTAAAACGAAAAGGGCAACAACAAGGTCTATCTTTACAATATACTGTTCAAATTCCGGATACCGTGATATTGTTGTAAATATTTAAACAAAATACCATTGTGCACAATAATTAATATATATCTCACGTAAATAACCTTTCCAGGCTATCTTACTTAAATAAAGTCATTCCAGGAATCTCACCTGTACTAAACGTACTTCGGTTTATTCCTTCTCGGTCTGAGTTCGTACTTTCTCCTCGGATTTCTGCCGTCTTCCTCACGACCTATCTCAGCAAGAGTAAGTCCTCTACTATCTATTTCTCCGAAGTGCATATTTCCCTCTCTGCTTGGTCCAGCAGATGCAGCCGCTACTTCCGGACTAGAGTCAATGTTTTGAGATTGACTTGAATCTAGTGCATCGTGAAAAGATTCGGTGGTATCTGCACTTAGATTTAATTGTGGATCGTCTTCCTGACGCGGTACATCGTTGAGCGATGAGTTTACTATCGTGTCATCCAATCCTCGTTCCTCCTCTTCCACCACAATGGCCGGATCTCCGCTCCCAACTTCAGTTTGTGGTACATCATTTCCAGAACTTGTGAGATTCACTGGTGCTGACGCTTTTCCTCCACTTTTACTGATTTTAGATGAAGGACAAGGAATTCCTTGATCCCTCTTCTTCTTCCGACTCCTCGTGATGATGTGATAATCATCTGAATCATCTGAATCACTATCAGTGACCAGGCTCACTTCACTCATGTTGCCTTCACTTACCCCGGAACAACCGTTGGGAAATCCCACAGCCGCTCCAGGTGATAGAAGGCTCACCTCACTCACGTTGCCTTCATTTTCCACAGAACAGCCGCTGGGAAATCCCACAGCCGCTCCAGGAACCTTGGTGAGTGGTTTTCCCCCTTTATAAGGTTTCATCTTCGTGATGCTGGTTACCTTCTTCTCCTGTCCCACCTGGACAATGTAGTTCCAATCACTAAGCTTCTCTACTATCTTGTATGGTCCCTGAAATCTGGGAGCAAACTTGTGTCCAGGTCTTTGAACCAATAACATGCACCACTCCCCACTCCCCACTCTCGAAAAATGGCCCTCTTACTCCTTTATCGTAGCTCGTCTTCATAAACTTCGCCTTTACAGCATTGTTCGCAGCTGCTTTTCTAGTCACCTCAGCTATGTTTCGATACAAATTGTATGCAAGAAGTTGTCTAGCGTCATCGTCATCTATTTCGGAATAGATCTGCTCTAATCTCTCATCATCCTGTATGTACAAGTTTCTCACACTCATGACTTCACGCCCAAATAACAGAAAATTGGCTGAGTATTTGGTCCTAGTGGATTTCAAGCTGTTGAGCACAAACACTATGTAGTTAATCCACAAGTCATAGTCCTGCCACTGATTCTCATTTAGACATGTTCTCATACAAACATTGATTTTCTTGTTGAAGGCCTCAGCTCGTCCGTTGGTCTGACATTTCCACGGAACTCCGTGTATATCCTTAATGTTGAACATTTTTAAGACCGACTTGAACAAAGTGCTCGAGAAACTCGGTCCTAAGTCGTGTATGATTGTAGACATGACTCCAAATTTCAGGATCCATTCATTTATGATAACCTTAATGGCTTCCTCTGTGCCTGTAGATTTCACTGGTTTGCACACCACATAATTTGAAAACATATCTACCATTGTTAACAGTGCTGTATGGCCCCTTTTCGTAGGCTTCTTAGACAGCTCTAAGTAATCAATGGCAACACACTGCCCGAAGTGGCTGTAAACAATGGGTTTCAATGGAGCTTTCTTGAAACTGCGAGGCTGCTTACCCTGTGCACACGTGATACATGCTTCGCAATATAACTTGTAAATTTTGCGCTGTTTGTAGAAGTAAAAGCTCTTCTGGCAGTGTTCCAGTGCTAGATCCGCACCCACGTGGCAATTGCCATCGTGGTACGAATGTAAAACTCTGTCAATAAGTGGCCTCGGCACCACAATAAGATCTCTGTCGTCCTGTCTGTTAGTGGGATTTACCCATCTGCGATGTAGGATCCCCTTCTTGACCGTCATCATGTCAAAATTTTGTCTATAGTGACAAAGCTCAGCAGAATCCCTACGGTAACTGACATTATCTGGAGGTTGCCCACTTTCTACCCATTTAATTACTGTTGATAAAATTGTATCATTAGCATATTCTCTCCGAATTTCTGCCAGCGTAATGGGCTGCTCAGGAAATCTCCGATTTCAGCACCCGTGTAATGTGCGTCCGTGTGTACTGTTTCTCTGATCCCTGCTGCTTACTCTCAACTTTGTCAAATGAATCCTGTTCTCTATCTACCACGATGGATTTGATCGATGCAATTGCATCATCACTGGTCTGCGTGGCTACTGACGTGGTCTCTATTTCCACAGGATTCCGACTAAGATAATCCGCCCACTGAATATCATTGCTCTCCCCGGAGACATGCACTACCTTAAACCGGAAAGACGCCAAGTCAGCCAGCCTTCTTTGCATATAACTATTTTCCTTGCGAAAAATAGTCGTCAAGTTGAGCAAACTTTTACAATCTGTAATTACACGAAATGAAGTATTCTCCAAATATATTCTATAATGAAGCAGGCTGTATCCTGTATCTGACCAAAAATCCGCACAATCATTTGAGTATAGTAGGTTTGTGATGTTATTTGGCTCCAGTAGGGTTTATAGATCAAAAAAAAATTTGGGTGGAAATTAAATTTCTGTGTCTATGAAGTCTGTGGCGACGCCCTTTTATACGATCGTGGGAAAATCTTACATGTTCCTGAAATAAATTCATATTCTTATAATTAAAGCATATAGGGTATCCAAACCAATGTTTTTTGGCTCGGGAAATCGATTGGTGATGTCAATTTGACTCTCAGACCACTCCCTGATAAGATAACCACGCCCATATTCACAATCGAGCTATAAAATTCCAAAAAATGTAAGTGATTTTCTTGGACAAATTGGGTGTCGAAACCAATGTTTTTTGGCTCGGGAAATCGATTGGCGATGTATATTTGACTCTTAGACCACTCCCTGATGAGATGACCACGCCCATATTCACAATTGAGCCTCAAAATTCCCAAAAATTTAAGTAATTTTCTTGGACAAGTTGGGTGTTGAAATCGTTGTTTTTTTGGCACAGGAAATCGATTGGTTACGTCTATTGCACGAAAATGCCACACAGAACGAAATTGAAACAGCTTTTGAAATAGGTTGCATCAAAATAATATAATATATAAACATAATGGCTATTAATGATAAAAATAAATAAAATCATAAGTATGGTCATTTATTTTCGCAATTAATGCAAAGGCAAAAGTCTGAATATTTTGACCCCTCCGCTTTAACACAAGAACAATGTTTAGTTTTGCATCCAGTTTTACATCGGCAAGTGTTGCAAAGTTCATCAGGAATGAGGTGAAGTTGCTTGTTGGCATAAAGGTCGCCCTCCTGATCTTTCCAGCC